ACAGGAAAAATGTGCTAGAGTGGGCTTTGAAAGTGTTTTATGAGATAATCATAATAATGATTAAACATGATACTTTACAATTCTGTAACTTCTTTTTTTCTCCAAAGAGTTCCTAGTGCATCATAAACATAATCATATAAATCCACAAAAAAATCCCATTAGGGTAAACAGATGGAAGAATTTTTATGACAGATTACATGATATGTCTAAATTAATCCTTGATGTGAGTTAAGTTAAAATTCAGACACATTCAATTTTACTGTGAAGCAGCGTTATTTTTGGCTAACCTGGGATTTACCCGGAATCCTGACAATAACAATGGATCAATATTTGTTATCACAGCTTTGGAGCTCACCTTTCTGAAAGGAATACTTTCCCGTAGTAAATATAAGGTAATATAGGGAGCTCTAGTTTCTAGATCTTACCACACCTAGTTCATCTCTTGATTTGTTTATGATGGAACAAGTTATTTAACCTCTGTCTACTAGCACATTCCTAACCTTAAAGAAGGTAATGATTAAACAGATATCAAAGCTACTAAAGGACTTCTGGTTTGACTCTGTCAGATAAGCACTGAACTACAAACCACAAGGTTGGTGGTTCAAATCTACCAGCTGCTCCTTGGACACCTTGTCCAGGATTGCTGTGTTTCAGAAGTGGACACAACCTACTAAAAATACCCCTTTTTATTTTCTGCTATCCTCCCTGCCCCTGGGCCTGCTTCCTCTTTACTAAGCTATCAGCAAGCAAACAGAATGACAAATTTAAATCTAAGAATGGAGAAAAACAGATATGGATCAGTCACACCATCAATATTTTCAACTGCTCACCTTCTGGTCGAGATATGACAAATATCTAAGATACTCAAGTGACTAGGATTAAAAAGGATCATTTGGCATGAATTGTCCAGGAAATGGCCTCAAATATTTCTAATATTTTACTAACGGAGACCTGGCTACAAGCTGGTGGCAAATATCTGCCATCATCATTCCCATGCCTCCTAAGAATCTAAGTGCATTGTATAACAATGTGATAAATGGCACACTCTTGATTAAAAAGATGCAATGCCCCCTCTAATTTGCTCTCTTTGTATAAAGCTAAACCAAATATATTAAATAATGTTTATATCTCCTTTAGAATTAAGTTTTAATGTGATTAAAGCACCACTTATAGACAAAAGAAGCCCACTGACTTTTTGTACATTTTCCAATTATTTGTATTCTGTTTCCATACATAGATTTTCTGCAGAAATGCCAACCACACCTCACAAATATCAATATTGCATTCTAGTCATTCTTGTTTTCAAGAAATTTCTCCAATGGCACAAAAAAATTTCACTTTTGGTGCTATTCAGAGCAACAGAAAATCTCCTTCCATTGAATATTTGTTATGCTTTCATCTAATTCAGTAAAATAACATTAAATTAAAAATCAGTCATAGAGGAAGACTGAGGCAAGTCAAATTAAGGTTTATAATAAGTTGTAACAAAAATATAACATGAAAACAAGTCTCTTCATTTTATAATCAAACATAGCATATAGTGAACTGCAGGGGTAGTTGAACAGTATTTTCAAAATAATTAAGTCAGTTAAAAACTAACAAGTGTTATTTAACAAATATATTTGTTTACTTTCATTGAACTGTAAGAAGTCCTCATATGTTTTCTTCAAGTCTATCCATATGACACATGATCTCAGCTAATCCTCCTCATATGCTTCCAATATGTGCCACAGAAGATAAATCTCACACTTACTTAAGTTTGAAATTTCCATCTGTAGCCATCTACAGATAACCTAACTGATCAATGGAGGCTCATCTCCTGAATGGAAGGGGCCACACCAAGCTCTGTGCTCATGTCAGGATGTACAGTGCTAAAGGAAGGACTGTATGGGCTTTCTTTTTATTTTCTAAATGGTCACATTTGTACTATCACATCCCTCCTTTTACTTTTGCTCTTAAAGCAATAAACTCTATCAGTCAGCTCTTCCAAATGTCAGTCTGTGTCAGTCAGTTCTTGTAAGTTCCCAAGCTCTCTTATATTTTTCTGAGGAAGCTTTGTTCAGCGCTATTCCTAATCTTTAATCTTGTTTACATCCAGAATGCATATTAGATCATCTCTACTTGGAAATCAAGTACAAACTTTAAAAAAGATGAAACATTTATTCACTAATTAGCTGTTTCCTGTTTCTAATAAAGTGAACACACCATGTTTGAATTAAAATTCAGTGATTGTACTTCTCTATTTATGGTTCCAGATGTTTTTGTTTTATCTATGAGTTTACTTTGACAGCCACTACTAAATGATGAATCACTCATTTTATAGCTGAAATGCTTTTTGAAATTGAAATGTGGCAAACTTTAAGATTGATCCAAAGATCAGTTTCAGCAGATCAATACCAGTTCCTTTCTTATGATCCTTTAGTATTGGCATATGTAAAAGAGTAAATAGAATAGGTATCAACATTATACTACATGTTACACAAAATTCCACTTTGCTACTATTTTCCAAATTAGAAAAAAATGTTTTAGTACTATGAAATCAATTTTATTCTGTATAGAAAAATAGGATTCATGTTAAGGCTGTCTTCTTTCTGGCCTAACTCTTGTTCTTATTTGAATTTCTGAGCTGCTGTGGAAACTTCCTGGTAGACCTTGTAAACAGACACACTTAATGAAAGGTGTGGGTACACATGTTTGTATTGTTGAATAATGATAATAATAAAACAATAAAAGGGTGAAATCTTTCAAAAATGCTTTTCTCTAAGAACTAATACTGGTTTTAATTCCCATTCAATAATGTATTTATGTACCATGTTCTTAGAATATAGTGTTTTATTTTGTCATTGCTTTCAAGTTTGCAATGTTGACAATTTGTATTGCATGATTTAAGCTTTGACTATATTGCATAAATTTCAGTCCTTGTAAAATGATTATTATTTGAAGTCAAAGAGCTTTCTTTTTGACATTTAGGCTATGTCAACAGAGGATGAGGACTCCTAGTAGTGTAGTAGATTATGAGCTGGACTGCTAATTCCAAATTCAGCAGTTCAACTCTACCAGTATCTTCATGGGAGAAAAATAAGGCTTTTTGCTCCCATAAAGATGTGTAGCCTCAAAAACCCTATACAGGGTCACTATGAGTCAGTACCAACTCAATGGCACACAACCACCCCCACTGCCATATAAAGGATGAGATAGACTCCAGTTATAAGCAATTTTCTGGTTAATTTCATCAGAATAAATATTCTCAAACTCCACAAATGAGACTGAGAAAACTACAAGACAGTTTCCAAAGACCCTGCTTTGTTTTCCTCTGCTCTCTGGAAAAGTTCAGATGAATTCCATAGTCTCCTTGGGACTTATTTAATAATGTCCAGCTTTTCATCTAGTTTGTATGATTAATATAAATTCAATCTGTTTTCTCCTATTACGTTACTACATCTTTTTGCTTCCTGTGATTCCCTAGGAAATTCCACTAACTCGTCACAATATTTTCTTCATAGAATGAATGCATACTTTAAAGATATTATGCATAACATTAAAATTTGGTACATAAAAGAGGAATATTTCTTCCTGATAATTCTAAACACTGGTCAGAATAAATGGATAATTTCAACTAAAAAATATATTTGAAGGATGATACATTTGACTCACAAAGATGGACTTTAAGTGTTTCTCAAACAAGGGTGATGGATTTTTACTGATCCATTCACACTTTCATTCTTAGTTTCACTCTGTATAGTTTTTCGTTTGTGAACAAACAGCAATTTTTGTGATACAGCTAGACAGAAACTAGGTTTGTAAGCCCTGGCTACAGAAATGATCAATATTAAACACAAAGAGATAGAGTAATTTCTTAAACAATTTCAACTGTAGTTCTTAGACATACCAATAAATGTTACCTATCTACTGGACTGTGAGCCACAAAGTAAGCAGTTCAAGCACACCAGCTGCTTCTCAGAAATCCTATACAGGGTAGCTAAGAGTTGGAATGAACTCGACGGCACTAACTTCAACTACAACTATTTCTAAGATGACATCCGAAACCCTAGTACCATAGTGGGTTAACACTCAGCTGCTAACGAAAATGTTTAGTGTTCTGACACACCAGCAGCTTCACAGGAGAAAGATATGACAGTTTGCTTCCTTAAAGATTAACATCCTTGGAAACCTTATGGGCAAGTATACTATGTACTATATTGTTGTTGTTATGTGCCTTAGAGTCGGTTCCAACTCATAGCGACCCTCTACAGGGTTTCCGAGGCTATACATCTTTACAGGAGCAGAAAGCCTTATCTTTCTCCCACAGAAGAGCAGGTAGTTTCGAATTGCTGACCTTGAAGTTCGCAGCCTAATTCGTAACCACTACGCTACCAGAGCTCCTCCTATACTTTATAGTCATTATGAATCAGAAGCAACTCAACAGCAACAGATAGGATGACATGGTCTGTTTTAATTATTAATATTTAAATAGATATTGGTTTGAACAAACACTGATTAAAATGATACACAGAACTGGTCTGACTTCATGCAATATACATAGTCTCAGGGTTAAATTGGGGAGAGGAAATTCAAAATTCCTAAATGTACAAAGCTGCCATTGTCTTAGATCCTGACCAAACACTCCTCTTTCCTTATTTTGGAAAACAATAGAGATATCAAATGTACCATTATGTACAAAAGAAAAAGTGACAAATCCATCACTATAGATGTTATATTTTATAAAAAATAGTCTTTATAGGTCTTCGATAGTCTTTTTGGGGCATTCAGATTTTGTCCCATTACTCTGGAAAGAAGAACAGAAACCATAGCATGTAACTTGAAGGATCTTTGAAAACTCACACATTAATATAGAAATACTCAGAAATGTTAAATTGTACCAATACTAAATCAAACCTGATAAATCAGATAAGCTTAGGTTTCTGAAGATAGAAGTTTTAGTATTTTTAGCACATATCAGAATTGTTCCTCAGAACTAACTTGTTTTCTTTCTTTTAAAGGAGGTAACTATTACTGTTTAGCAATGGCACAACAATTTTATTCGGCCTGAAATGTCTTCGCTGACTTTACATAAATGAAGATGTTTGTGATTCCAGTTTATCTCTGACACTGTTCAACATGGAGTTATTTCACTTGTGTTTATTAGCAAACTTTTGTTTACTGAAACAGTTATTCAATCTATAATATTGCATAAACAAAAAGACATGTGTACATTTAAAAAAAAGGATATAAACTGTCCTTGCAATAGATTGACCAGTTTAAGAAAATGAGCTAACTCTTAATGACTAAAATAACTTTATCATTACAGATGATTTTCTATGTTCATTTCAGCTTTTTTTTTTTTTTTTTGCCTTTAAAGAAAAAAAAATGCAGTAGTTAGTATGTTAGAGATTAGAAACTTATCTGTGTATTTTTTTTCTGTTTTGTCATATATAAAGTTAAACTACACCTTCTTTTTAAAAATGTACTTGCTAAACTTCAGTATAAATAAAAGCATTGACTTTGTCAATTATCACTGAGTTTTTATTTTCAAAGTTGTAACTGCAATCATTAAAATGTGTAATATAATCATAGTGAAAACCAAAATAGAATGACTAGGAAGGTGTTTTCAATGATTCTTCTTAGTTTGGTTATTTCCAAACAAATATGAACACAAATCTGTTTAAATTCAAGTCCAAAAGGGATAATCTCTCCAAATGTGTTGTTGCTAAGACACTAAAAACCTGACCAAAGGACATCAATTTATTCAAAAGGGAAACTTACAGATCAGGATAGCAGTACTGCTTCCAGTGGCAGGCAGCTGGACAAGTGTGGTTCCACAACAAGGGAGCAGGCTGAAGCCTTTTCATACTAAGGAGTAGACAAGTTGTGTGTGTCAAGCTTTTTGTGGGTAGTGTACAGCTTGGAAAGAAAGGGGAGTCCTGAGGTGCCAACTGCTTGCCTAGACACAGTGCATGCAATCATGAGAACAGGGTATTTTGACAGGTAACAGATGAGATGGGGGTGTGTGCACCATGGCAAATAATGCAGACTGCTTGTGTGGCCATTTTGGGGCATTCAGATTTTGTCCCTGCTCTGGTAGTGTAGTGGTTACAAATCGGGCTGCGAGCCTTAAGGTCAGCGGTTCGAAACTACCAGCCGCTCCGCTGGAGAAAGATGAGGCTTTCTACTCCCCTAAGGATTTATCCCTTGGAAACCCTGTACAGGGTCGCTATGGGTCGGAACCGACTCGACGGCACTTAACAACAACAACAACAACTCCCTAACTCCACCAAATGGCCCTTACAATCTTATCGCTGATCTCCCATACAATGGTTTGGACCTGGATGTTGGAAACTTGCAACCATAGTCAATAACAGCAGTATATATGCCACAGCACAGTACTATTGCCAAGCAAAGGATCTCTGCTACTGAGAAGAGTACCAGACACCATGAAGATGGCAATGAGTTGGGTCAGAAAAAGGGTCAATGGACAACTGATGAACGGCAGAAATGTGGCCCTGCATCTGTTTCAGAGCCATAGTAATGTTGTGATGTTAATCTGGTATGCCAAACAAGCTCAGGCGCTGGTGTTCTAAGGGGCCCTTTCCCATGATAGGCCAACAGAAGAAGAGATGGGGAGCTCCCCACATACACAACAGTCTGATTGGTTCTTCACATGGTCAATCATTGATGTCCAGCTGGCAAAGATATTACCGAAGACACTAAGAGTACAAGGACAAAGCCTGGACAAATCATGCCCATCAAGTAGGATGCAGTAGTATGAGAAGCATTCAAAACAGTCCTGGGTTGGGCCCTTCCTGTGGCTTACAATACCATACGTTTTGCCCTTGTGGGCTTTCTTGGGAGGGGAGACTGTAAAACCTAATGCAGAGACTATAATGCTCCATAAACACAGGATGACCTTTCCCTTTGGGAAAGGCATTTTCCCTGGGCTGAGGAGGTGTAAGCCCTTGGATGGCGTGGGATAGAACCAAAGTGATATTTGTATGACTACAGCTAGTTCTAGCCCTATATTTTAAAGGGACCAAAAAAGCAAACCATTGGGGCCAATTTTCTATTTCCAAGGAAGCAGGATAGTGGAGCCTTAGAAACCATATGCAGGGTCCCTATGAGTCAGAACCAACTCCATGGCAAACCACCATCAATAGGACAATGGAGGTTTCTGGGGCTAGGTCCTAAGGCAATAACAAGCAATTGTTGGAATGTCCGAGCACAAGCAAAGACAGGTGTCAGTTTCAGAGACTTGAATCCTTGTAGCCTTTTGTGGTCCATGTTTTAACATTTGACAGGTGCTTGGCCAAGTTTGTCACTGATATTCATCGATACACCATAGAGCTTCTTATAGTCATTTAGTCAATTGCTACAAGGAATAGGTGTCATGCCATGGAGTTTGTTTCAGGATTCCCTGTATCCACTCTACAGATCCAGCCAAAGTTGGGTTGTATGGGAGATGAAAGTGTCAAACAATACCTGGTCTTGGATTCCATGACTCATTAAGCTAGCCGCCTGATTACTCTTGATGTCAGTAGGGGTGCTGGAAGCAACACAGAGTTGGAAGAGACCCCAAATTTTGTGGTGCTGGGTGGCTCATTTCCAGGCATATGTTTGTAAGAACCCAGTGACAATATCCACACATGTCAGAGTGTATCTATACTTGTCTGACATGGGGAGAGGCCCTATATAATCCATATGTCCCCATTTTGCTAGCATGTCTGCCTGAGATATCTTACCCATTTGGTAGGGAATGGATTTATACAGTTCCAACAAGCACTTAGGGTACTGTTGGCAAGCCAACACAATTAATTTTATGGAGTGGGGGAGATCCATCTCTTTGGTGAAGACCCACAAAGTACATGTTGTTTCTTGTGCCCCATTTTTCAACATAGTCACTTGGCCACCTGCTCTGCCAGTGTTTTCTGTGTGGCATGCAGCCGGGACAATTCATTATCTTCAGCGTTCTCAGCAGAGTAAGGGGTCTATGAGCTAATACATGAAACACTGCATTATCTATGCCCTGGGTGCAGGCCCAGATATATTTCCACAGTTCCATTCCCAAAGGGCTAATTTGTTCACAAGTCATTCTTGCTCTTTCCACTGTCTTCACCATAATATTAGTCCTTTTCACACTAGCCAACTGTCCACACATATGACTATGGGGCTGGCCTCTTGCATTGCTACCATTCAAGCAGCCCTCAATGTAGCCCTCAACAACTCTGCCCCATGCCTTCATCAATCAACATACCTTCTGTGGTGGGTTGCAGCGCCACTACAAACCAAAGTGGGGGTTACCTCAAGATGAGCCACCCATGTGCCAAGTGTCTTCAGGAATCTGTCCAGCATCTTCAAATACGTTACTTTATCATGGAGATATCTCCATCATGGACACCTGGAGCTTTTCATCAGTGACATCAGTAACCAGTCCAAGAATATGGTGCAATTTAGCACTCTAAGGGCTGGTTTAGAGAACAATTCTTTGTTGCAGATATGCATGTTATTTGGCCAAAATACTGGACTGGGCTACCCTGAATGCAGCTTGACATATTCCTTGACCAATCCCTATTTGAGGTAGTACATTCGTACTGTTACAGGGGACCCTTTTTTTTTTTTTTTTAATTTTTATTGTGAGTTGGATGATAGTTTACATAGGAGAACATCAGCTTTACATCCACCCTACCACTTTTTGTTTATTGCAATGACTAAAACCCCCTCATGTATCCTCATTCATTCTCATTAAACAACATTTGCTTCCATTCCCTCTGTTTTTTGTTTTTTGTTTGTTTTTTTAGATGTATCAAAGCACTTAGGAATATACACACTCAAATAACCAAATGGCACACCCTGAAAGCCAGCCCCCTGGCCATCAACACACAGCCCCTCTCCTTCTTTGAATCCAAAGTCCCCAGCGCTCCATCTCTCCATGTTGTTGTCTCTGCCTCTATCTATGGTGTGACTGCATCTCTGGATAGGGTCCCACACTCCACTCCTCTCCCTTGATGGTCCTAGGGTCCGCCACTACTGGACTGTAAGCTCAACCACTCCCCTCCTATTTTACAAAATGTGTACCTTTACATTTGCAACATTCACAATCAGTCCTGATAGCAATTATTCACTATTGAACCACAAGAGTCTTATACCCATCTCCTTTCACCATCCCAGTCCAGATAGATTAGAAACTACTCAGTGGAGAGTCTATATTCCCCCATACCCTCTGGATCTAGGTTCCCTTTTTAAAGCTTATAAGCCAGTCACTTCGTACCTCTGTAATCCCCCCATTTTGGGTAGTCAAAGTCTAAGTTACACATCCCTGTCAACCCTGTGTACCGAGGGGGTGGGGATGATCCTCGATGTAAAGACTCATTCCCTCTTTTGACCTACTACATTCATAAGTATAGGTCAAGTTCATTAAATTGTAGCAAATTTCTCTTTTTTCCTCTTCTTTCTTCCTCTAGTCAAGTTCTAATCATCCAGCCATTGAAGCCAGGTCAAATGGGTGCTATCTGCAAGCATGGGTGTTCTTGTGCATATTCCCTCACTTCATATCATCTGGACACTTCAATCACTGCTCTAGTCCTCTGTGGCCATGTCCCTGTCCCTGGGTCCAGGAGGCCCCAGGGCTTGACATACTGGTGGCCAACCAGGTCTCAATCCAGGTTGACAGGAGTCTGTTGAACGTGGTCAGACTTAGATCATAACTTCATTGCTGTTTCTACCCCACATTCCCTTTTTAGTAGACCTATGTGGTCACCTGAAAGACCACATGCCTGCTCATGTATTCCCCTTGAGTCTCAGTCTTGAAAGGAGTTTGCCCTGAGGGGACTTCATTGCTTGCCATGATGGTTCCCCGGTGAACAGCTTGCTTGTTCTTGTAGTAGTCAATTGGACTGCCATTATTATTTTTTTATTTTTCCTGCTGGTCTTTATTTCAAGAAGTATTTTCTGTTATTCTAGCAGCTTCAGGTTGGTCTGCTTGTCCTTTCAAGTAGAACTTTCCCACCTCAGATGTTCTGAATGGGGATCCGGATTCCACCTATGGTTTTATGCAATGCAAAGGCTCTGCAGAAAGCCTCCTTCACTGGGCAAGTTCCAGCCCCATTTTAGGCATTCCAATCAGTTATATACTGAAGACAGACTTACAAGCTTTCTATATTGATGTTTCTGACTATTCCTTACTCTCCCCCTCAAGTGTCTATTTTACATTAGTAGGCAAGGGAAACCAAGATTCAAAAGACAGTCAAGAGGCGGGGCTTGATGGTGACTAGGGTGGAGGTGTAGTGAAATTTGGCATCATCCATAACATAGAATACCAGGCAAAAAAGATCCAGGGCAGAGCTTCAAAACTCGGAACCACATAGCTAGGAATATTTTAAAAGTTTGAAGGCTTATAGTTAGTGGAATTTGAAACCAAAGTAAGAAATCACATATTTTTCAATCTTCCGGGATCTTAAGCCTGGAGCCGATATCTTGGGTGAGACAAAACTGCAAGACCAAGCGGGGGAGGAGAC